TAAACTAATTGATAACTAAGTTGAGCACGAAGCTCCTAAACTATGAAACTACTCTGACTATATACTGAACAATAAAGGGGGCCCCTAGGAGCTTTCTGGCTCCTCAAGACTCCTTATCACGCGATTTCTGATGGTGCGTGCGCATACGATCTTCAGGTGACCAAGATCACATACTAATTCGATGAAATCTGATCGTGTTTGCACACGGCCTAAGCTCTCCTAATTAATCAGTTTGCTACCATCGTAACACCATCAATCCTAATGGTGAATCGTGACAAATATAACTTTATTATCGTCAATATTATATATCCCCTATCGTGATACGAAACCTGACAAATAAATTCTATACAAATTGAAAATCTAAATTTTAATCTTTAAAATCTCAATCAATAAAATTACAAAAAATTTGAAATTTTCAGAATCTATTTATAATCATATAATTATATAATTATATAATGATTTTATAAATAAAATTTCAATTGATTTGATTTATTAATTATTAAATAATCAAGATGTCAAACTCAAGAATATGTTACGTAGTAACAGTCAACCTGTCCATATGAGCTTAGACCCCGTGGAAGAGCAAACCGATTCACATACAAAATTGTATGGTAATCGGTTCGTAGAGTCTCCCCACCTTCAGCAAGCACAGACATATAGTCTGATCCAAGTCACGTGATGGACACTGCATATTCAGGGATACGAATCGTAGGTCCATACGAATCGAAGGTCCACAAACTCTCAGGATCCAAGAGATCCAATGGAGGACGAAGGTCTATATAATCAGGATGGTTTCCTTTGTGTAGAGCTTCGTGCTCAAGATCAATCATTTAGTATACTCTACTATTAGTTACGAATTGCATTATTGTCATTACTTTAAGTCCCTGCTTGACGCCTAGTTATAAACCACCTCGAGAGCCTAGAGCACTTCCACGTGATCTAGACGGCAAACCTCGTAACAGAATACTGGGTAAAGTATCTTGTATTAGAAAATACTAAGCTAAGGAGAAAAGAAGAAGGAAAACAAGAGTAGAGAGTTTTCCTGTGATTAAATACAAACGGGGCATGCCACGTGACCCAAAGGTGTGAGGCGTCACATAAGAGATCAAAATCATCAAATCATCAAATCATCAAGTCATCAAGTCATCAAGTCATCAAGTCATCAAGTCATCAAGTCATCAAGTCATCAAGTCAAGTCAGAAATGTGGATTTCTATCTCAACTTCAGCTGAATTCGACTTTCGTGTACGGTTTTGACGTATTTAGTGATAGAAATTACTTCATGAAATTTTACTTTGCAGCATATCTTGAGAATGCCTGCTCGGACAGGAAAATCGTCTTGATCTTCATTTTGAAATTTTGCTCTATTCTCATCTGTAACTATACAGTCTTTCGCAAGTACCTGTGATCCCGAGAAGAATGCAATCATATGATTTAGAGTTGTCTATCGTGGAAAGAAGAGTCCGAGTTATCGAGTACCGACATGAGGGAAGCTCAAGCCGGACTTAGTGAAGTAGTTAGTAAATTGATGGGCGACGACGCTAGTAGTGAAGGAGTGGGAATGAAATTAAAAGAGGAGCAAAAGAAAGTGGATGCCGATGTAGATCGTTCACATAGAAGCCGGGGTTGAGGGGAAATCGGAAGATTGTGGAGGATAGCATGACTAATTGATGGCTATCGTAAGACGACCCGACCGTGAGGTGAAAAGAGAGCATTGAAACCTTAATCTGGTTGTTAGAGGTTTTCGACCGGATTTAGAGTTTTTGAACATGATTACCTTGGCTGCTACCTACGGAGCCGATGGCGGCTTGGTTGAGTATGAGATATGTGAATAACATTCCTTCTCTTTGCTACGGTGATCGGAACTTTAGGACTGTTGCTAAGTCTAACTTCCCTTGGTCATGACAGAAACCCACGGATCTATTTACGATACTAACTATCCTAAACTGGGTTTACAAATTAGTGATGGTACTCGTGCTGCCAGAAAGTATATGGCTGTCCACTTAAATATGGGCCACTATTCCTCTTGTAGTTTACCATTATGTGGTATGTGCTTAGAAGTGGATAGCCCATATACTTACTGGCAGCACAAGTACCTTTCTACGTCACTTCTAGTTTTGTGGTGATTCAAGGGTGTTCTAGGTACTCATGCATGGCAGAAAACGAGTCCCAAGAATTTCTATTCTAGTTTAGATTTCAGGGACTAAATCTCAAAAAATGAATTATACTTGTATTTAATTCCAATTTGTTGAAGATTGGAAATGTTAAGCAAATGATAAAGCTATATTACCTGTGGCTAGGACTAGAAAGACTGATCTCATGATGTACTCATCTGCTGCAGACTATGAATATTGTGCTGATGATATGGGAAAATATATGATAGCTTCATTTAGGTATTTGGTTGACATTGACTTAAAGTTTACTTGGTATCCTTACTCTGTGTAGCACTTTTACAGGTACCTAGGCATTCATTCCAGCTGTCAGGTGTGTAGAGGAATGCTAGAATAGCAGGTCGGACTAGGGCGTTAACTACATGTGGAGAAACCATACACTTTGATAGAATGAAGGGGGCCATAGCAGACATTGATAGTGCTTGCATGGTATCTCTTTCCTGGTATACTTGGTGTCAGGTACGTAGTTTGAATCAAAACTAGTTACCGAGATACGAAAGTTATCTGTATTATCAACAACATCAAGTTACCTGAGCCCAATTTCGATGTCTTCCCCAAGTGAAGACAATGGGCAAAATTATGAATAGAAATCATTCCATGATGATTCTCAATGCGTCTCCAAGCGTCATAAGTCTTGGCTCCAATGTCGGTTTCTTGAAGATATCGATGCTACACCACGTATGGATGCGGATATCCTGCTTAGGATCTTACAGGGCACAAACTATCATAGGCTCTGTAGACTTTGCTATTTGGAATTAAATCAGTTCGAATGGTTGCAATTCAATTCAAATTAGCTCAATTATAGGCAAACAATTCATGATAATCAGTTTGGTATGTGTTATAGACCCTGGAGTATTATCTTGAGAGCTATGAGAGATTTGTATGACGCAATTACCATAAAGTGCTGAGAAACCAGGGTTAAGTTGTTCCTTAGAATCTGTAACTAGCAATCGAAAGACTGATGGCCTCGAGGTGGATGCTAGCTACAGGGATGCGAGTCCGCCCCGAGCAGCTAGCGCTCGAGGGCCGATCCGGCTTATATAATCGAATCGTGACAATTTTCTTTATTAGAATTTCGCGTAAAATGATTTTCGCGTATTGCATCTTAATACCTAAGTAGCAATACAAAACTGGTATAACATACGATTTCAGCACAGTTATCAAAAATGAAGCTAATTCCAGGAGTGAAATTTTCTTCGCTCATTATTCGAATGTTACCATTTCTATGTCTTGTGCCTTGCCACTGAAATTAACACTCATATATACCCAGAATATTGGATATAGATCTAAAATATAAACAAAATTTTGACCGCCTTCGGCATGTGATGGCAGAATAATTAGCGCCAAAAATTGTGTGGCACGTCGCGTCTACCTGTGTGAGCTGCCCATGGCATAAAATATTCAATGATGCCAATGAGAAATGATATAAAATTAATTTTATGATTTTTATGACTTTATGACTTCAGAATCAATATTCATACACACAATACCTAGATTCCACAACTATTATAACACAAATACTATCTCATGCAGCATTTTCCCACGCGTGAAAACAAATTCTATACCGTGTTTTCTGATTCCATCCACAGCGGCAACCTGCGAGTTTGGGCCTGCCAATCTAAGTTATGGATAAAGGAGAGCGGGATTTACTGGAGGAACGTTCAAAAACTCTGCGGGTCGAATTAAAGGTATGGGAAAAGGACTTTCAGAACAATAATCAAGGGCGCAAAGCAGCTAGGGAGGATATCAAAGCCAACCCTGACATTGGTATGAACTCTACCTCGACACACTCTGCCAGTTGACGTATTAACTTATATTCAGCCTCTAAGTATAAAGAGTTCAATAAGGTACGCGATATACTTGCTGGAAAGATTTCGCACATACCTCCATCGGCCCCTAAAGCGACGCCCCGAAAGAGAAGACATGAAGAGAATCACAATGAAACTCCCCAAAAACGGTTACTTGTTGACAGGACACCGTCGAAGAATACAATGTTACCATGGGACGTCGACCCTTATCATTCTCCTTCCATTATGAGGAATTTGTTTGCTACACCTTCTAAGAAAATGGCAATTGGGCCGACACCACAAAAGGATGGACAGGTGCTTGGGTTATTTGATTTGGATCCAGATAGTGCCGCAGATTCCCCTTCTACTGCTCACGGAACAGCAGGAAAGTTAGCTGCAACACAATCTACACCTCGAAAAACTGGAATGACCCCAGGAAGTACAAGAGCAATCATGCATAGCAATACACCGTCATCGAGAAGGACTTTACTATTCAGCACACCTTCAAAAAATAAAACTGCCCATGATCACGGATCAAATACACCTTCTTCAGTATCAAAACTACATTTCAATACACCGTCCTTTTTAAGAAGAGATAGTCAACGAATACGACTGCCAGCTGTTGATGAAAATGAAGAAGACCCACCCGACTCCCCAGAGATGGTTCGAGGACCTCAAAGACCAATGATCAAAAGTTTAAGCAGTATGCTTGCTGGTCTGCGAAAAATGGAAGAAGATGCTGCGGACGATGATTTGGAGGCTTTGAATCAAATGGAAGCCGAAATGGCCAATACCTCGAAGTCTATACCAAAACCAAAACCAAGACTACAAGAAACAGACTCATCAAATATCCCAGCATCAAAACCCCCAGCTAAAGACTCTCTTCCGGAAGATACAAGCGTAGTCGACAGCCAGCCACGAGAATTGCTGGGCGGTTTTGATGATGAAGCTAAGTACGATTCCGAACCTGAAGAAGCGACGAATGCGCATACAAGCACATTTAAAAAGAAAGGTCAAAAGCGCACCACCCGTCGCGTAAATCTGAAACCAAATCGTACGAAGCCCTCCCAACCTATGCCACCTACCAACCACTACGATGCCTCAGAAAGCGAAGACGAGCTTGCCCTCCCTGACGACCACCTCGAAACTATCCCGGAAACTCAACTCGACGATGAGATTCCCCGGCCTGAGGATGACGAATTTCCCCAACCTGATGAATTTTTGCCTGACGGTCGAAATTTCGACTCCGACTCTGCCTCTGAATACACTGCTTCAGAAGGAGGAACACGGTACAGAAGACCAGATCAGGATAAGACAAAAAAGAGTAGAGAGGTGAACAAGGAAGGAAAGGTTAAAAAGGCTGCCAGGAAAGTTAAGGCTACGGCAGGCAGTTTGCAAAACTTCAAGAGGTTGAAGTTAAGGAACAGTGGAGCGAAAGGAGGACCAGGGGTTGGCAGTAGATTCAGAAGGAGGAAGTAGAAGACCAAAAGTTGAGGGCTGTGGATGGAGCGGGATGCTGAATGGGATTGTGCGTATGGCTTGTGAAGTGCTTGTACCAGTATACTTTTCAGACACCATAAGAACACCATGCAGTTACAATATGACTTGCTTTAAAATTTTAGGATACGCAACAACATAGATACATTATACTACACGAACTGAAGTTCCCATTTCCCTCGGGATAGCCAACGTCCACATCCTAATATTTACTGTAATACTGAGCTCAGCTCTACTCTCAACTCTCTACACCCAAAACTTCAATCCATCTCATGAAGCAAAAGTTCTTTTTCAACACACCCCACAAATCATGGGCCATCCATCTTGCCCCTTCACTCAATGCCTAGTCATTCATCCCCACCCGTGTCCATTCTCGTCCTTTCCCCTTGTTATCGCTAGTCCCACTCAGATCTCCCATCTTTTGCACGATACCTCATCCCACCTGCGGCCATTCTCATCTTTTGTCTCCCACGAATTCTCGTCTCCGATCCTACTCAGAATCTCAGATCTCCCATGTCTTGCTCAATACTCATGACAACCGCTAGTTCAAACTTTAATATAAACAGGTATTCCTAAATCTTCATGCTGTCGATATAAACCATGTTACTTAAATGCGTCCGGGCGCACAGTCAACAACGAGATAACTCGAAGTGAATGACTTGGTTTTAACGCTAACGACTCTATGTTCAAAAATGACAAAATATGAAACACAATTTAATAGCTTGGGTTGCAAAGTGCAGATAGCCTAGCGTCCTGAACATAAACTTGAATTTGGTATCAGTCCCAGCCTCCCAGGTAAAACCTATGGTAGTATTATCATTTAAGCACGCATTTGAATCACTCTTTTCACTTATTAAAATCTTATTTGCTTTGGAGTATTATGTCTGATAGAATCGACATAGTTATATAGTCTTTTGGTGATAGCAATAGGATATTAAAAATTAGAAATTAGGTGCCTAGTATAAACACTGCCTTGGAGCTGATAAAAGTGAGTTAAAGATGGTATTTATTGACCCTACTTATCAATAAATCATCATGTCATAATAGGCACCAAATTCGATTATAGTCATATAATTATACCCTTGGAATCCACGCGTGCTACCCACAGCTCATTATTTCTCCGACTCATCCTCGGTATTCCAGTCTTTGCTTCCGTCATTTTGATCAAGTGTGTGAATATTCTCTTGTCCGCACTGTACTAATGAAGGGCTTCAGCGATCCATGACTTGATCATAGCTTTTGCAATACTCACATTTCCCATAACAGACTCGGACTCTTGGACTCTTGGACCTTTGTGCTCTTGGACTTAGACATCTACGAACGAAATGCTCTCATTGGTACAATGACGCGGAGTGCTAAGCTTCGTAACTCTGGATTACTGTCGATCTAGATGCTTTGATCAACGTCGATACCTCGGAGAGGGGCAGCGTGAATAGTCCCACGATAGCATCATCCTAGTTGCGACGAGATGTTGTGGGATATGAAAAGTAGCAAACAGGGACTCTGAAGAATCCTTACTTTCGGACTCAAAAGTTTACAAATAAGGCTTTTTGACCTGAGGAAAAGAACCTTATTTTTCAACTTTGGCTACTTCTCGGTAATGACTTCCTTTGGTCTGGAATCGTCGATTGAACTTCTTCTATAAAGAAGAACATTTCTTAGATGACGGAGCTTATTTCGCCGCTTCTCCAGGAGCTACAGAATACAAGTCCCAGCTTGCCTAGATATTATATTAGTAGGATTTTTGGCTTTTGGATCGGAGCACAGACCAGGAACAAGGATAGAATTGAAGAATCGGATGAAGGGACTGAAAGGAGAATATTCAGACCCGAAATCATCGATTGAGAATAAGAAAGCCATTTGAAATTAATCTTTTTTTGAATACAATTATCTGTATAGCAATTTGATTGAAATTTCTTCAGGCCTCAGGCAGGACGAATGAGACGTGGAGAATTAAAATGAACTTCTAAGCGTTCATGGAGGTGAAGCGTTTAAGTATATGATCATTTGAGTTCTGGATTAATCAGCTCGCTAAAATCTACTTAAATATCATAATCAGGGTGAAGTCGGAGGAGGTCTGTGGAGTCTATAAAGTTCCTGGCTGGACTCCTGCTTGATTCAGTAAGTCTATACGATATCCCCAGGTCTTTGTCTCTCATGGTTCTGCCACAAGCTAAATCCTAAGTATCTGTACTGTGAGAGAGTTTTGCCTTCGAATTTGAGGAGTGATTTTTCTTGCTGGTCAAATTTTCTCATTTTCAGAATTTTACCCTTTTCTTGAAAGATCGACATAGAGTGTGGAATTTTGTACTTTCTGTCGTTGCACGTTATTGTTGTGGCGAGTCAGGTAGCGGAAGTCGGGCTTTAAAAGTTTCGTTTAATGGTTCTATTCTATTCTGGATTTGGCAGATAACGTTGATGCTTTTTCATCTCGACTACACGGACATATCGCAATCGGTAGATGGGTATCTGCCGGTATCTTATTTTGCAGGCTATTCGTTAGCTGGGCTGGACATCCGTACCCTACCAGGGGTATTTGTCCTCTATCGGGTGGCTACCCGACCCCACAGGGATTTTATAAAATGTTTACCCAAAAATATCGTGCCAAAACACCATACGTTATCAACGACTCGACCTATTAGAAGTATAGTCCGCCCGGGGGTAACTGTGCTGTTCACTTGGTATTTTCTTGTTGTGGGGTATTTTAACGTCCCCAGATATGCATTCATGCCTTGACCCTGTAGGTCTTGAAGCTGGGCACAATATTTCAAGATTTTGATATTGAAATTGTTTTCGTCCTCAGCAGTGCGCGTACGAGAATGGCGATCAAAAATTCCTGAGTCTTTCGGTTTTTGTGTGCAATCAACCAATGAATGATATCAACGCGTGCTTCGATTTTCCTAACCTCGAGTCCAATATTGCAGAAAGACAGGCTCTTGATCATATCACCACTTGGCGCGGTTATCAATTTTTTCATCTGGATAATTGCCATTCTGGATTAGCATCAAAAATATATATTCGAAATTGAGAACCAAAAGAATCCCATTGAGACTCATGGAATAGAAATCACTACCAAGTAAATACCCCACATCGGGGAGTGTACGAGAATTCTAGATTCATAGGCACACTCCCTGGTCTATGAACATTTTCATGTGCCCCTTTTACCTGCTTTACCGAAAAACGCCCCAACTGGTAATAAGCACGGCCCCCTGTCTTGACCTCCGCATCTTTTCTATCTCAACTTCAATATTGATCGTCCAATCTACAAATCGACGTAGCCTCGTAAAACAGCTTAAAACCGTACACGAGCAACAGACATACTCTAAAATCCCGCGCAACTTGCTGTGTCTAACCATATTGTTCTGGTTTTTCTCGCCCCTATTCAAAAATCGGCCAAGAAATCCCCGCGAAACTTTCTCATTTCCAATCATATGCATTGGTCAACGCCCTCAGCTTTCACCAGTCGACTTAGACTCGTAGTGGGCAAGACAATAGTTTACGGTAGATACAGGATTAGTCTCTGTACCTGACTTTAACTACTAAGAAGACAAAATAGCCAACCTCGTCTACATCAACTAGCATATTTGATGCTACTTAACCCACCTTGACCACAGGACGATTAGTTTTGTTCCTTGGCTTGTAAAAGAGGGACTGACTAGGACATATCAAAAGCGAGCGACAATAACAACAACAACAAACGCGTTATTTACTGCACACAAAATAAGGGGGGTTGGGGATCAGCGGAATCTCTTCTATTACTCGTACCATGCTGGATCGAGGGGGACTACTAACTAATCCGAAAACTGTACAAAGAATCAATACTGATTCTCATCTTTACCTTTGTATTTATGATGGGTTATAAGTATCGATGTAATGGGGTATTATTATAAATATTTTAGACATCTTTTGGGGATTGCAGGCTGCTTGTTAAGTTTACAATTTCCTTTTTTCTAGACAATCTATAATGTATATAGTACAAGCTAATCGCATGATCCATGTCGCATTAGTTATAGTTGGATTAAACCGAAATCAAGAACCTATACTACCACTACTACCACCCATAGTGGTTGGATCCATGACTAGTCATAAGCAAAGCAAGTCCGTGTCCGTAGATTCTAGGTTAGTGTACCAAAGGGTTCTCACTACTTTTGACTCCCCTTTCTTGTTAGTTTTAACAAACCCCTATAAGGTTTTCAATCATCAACGCGTCTCTATATGAACTTCCTTTTGACAACACTACATTTACCATCCAGTATTGCAGAGAAAACTACAGTATTCCTCGAATCCAATAAAGTCTTTCAATGAACATCTTCTTCATCCAATGAACTTGAGTCTTTTCTTCAATCAATAGCATAGCATAGCCATACCCGATACCCCATACCCCATACCGACACCCCATACCGATACCCCATACCGAGACCCAGCATTCATACCTGTACTATTGGGTTTCTTGAGACCAGAAAGAGCATCAGATTGAATTGATTGATTCTCTAGCTAAGCAGTTAAGCTGCGAGTATATATTCAAAAAATGAAGGAATAGGGTTAGGTATTCGGCCTTCGGAATTAAAGTGCTTTGAAATCAAAATATTGAAAGCAAACAAACAGTATACCGAAAAGGAAAGAATGAATTAAAAGTTGAGTTTTGTTTGCTCCTTATATGCATCATGCAATATATATGCATATGCTGCCAAGATCCCAGGAGGTCAACATGTACCGACATCCATACTGGTACCTGTATCATTTTTTTCATTAATGCTCATACCAATATTTATTCTCATATCCATACCGATACTTATATCAATACTTATACCGGTACTCATACCGATACTCATAATATCCGATACTTTTTATTATGTGAGCAAATTTTTAAGAAACCAAGTATTCCATCGCGAAGGCTTAAATCAAAACTAACCTCTATTCAGAACTTCCATACTCACTCCTTTCTTCAACCTCTTCTTCTATAACGGATCAGGAAACTTCCTGCTTCAGACCCCACATAACCCTACATTATTTCACATACTTCCCCCAAATCTATTCTTTCATCAACCACCACGAAACTCTCTATTCCAAATCTAAATCAACCTATTGCATTACATACAGTCTCCTGAAACTCAATCAGATAAATACTCAGTTCGTAAGAAACTTGTCAACAGAACAAAGATCCTTTCAGTCCAACAGATCATCTCTGGAATCAAGGATTGAGCTTTTTCTTGATATCGCGATTTCATATCACTACCTCAATTGTAGACAGGTGAGCAGATTCTTGAAGGAATACAAAAATATCCATCGGAAAAAAATATACTAGTAAGTAAAAAACTCAGAAAATTACATGCACATGTTAATAGTCTCCTAGCACAATCAAGTCTCTTTACCAAACATTCACAATGAGCCGAGAATTTCCCATCACGACCGAGGAATACCCCCACTATCCGCAAACAAATATATTGGGCGATCAAGATCTAATTAACAAGAACATAAGAGAACATGAATTCTTCTACAATGCGGAAGAGGATTCGACCAATGAGGAGAACTCGGCTGATAAAGGGAATTCAATCATCGAAGAGGAATCATCTGGTGGGGAGAGTTCAGGTGAGGGAATGGAGTGTCAGAAATGCCTTAGAAATATCAATAAAGTTTTAGAAGTCGCTGTGTTGCACCCATGCAATCATGTCTTCCACTTTTTTCGGTGCATACAAAATCGGTACAGGAAGAACCCTAAGTGTCCTGTTTGCGAAACAGAAGCGGTGAAGCTTCGCCGTATGAGTTCCAGAGAGGGGACCTTCCATGACCTGCTACCACCTGTAGGCAAGAAGCAGTCAGTAAATGAATTCCTGTACTCAGACCTGCTTTCACCATCCTCAAAGGGTTATTTTTGCAATGGCCTTTTCTTCCCAGCAAAAATGCTCGCTATACGCCGAGACATATACAGTAAGCGACTTTTCTGCCAATCTGTTTCCACCAGCCGATACTCTGGATCCAGCAGAGTCGCCATGAAAAACTTCAAGATCGATCCTAGAACCGAACATCAGATTCGTTTATGGATACGACGCGAGGTTCAAGCTTTGACATACTCTGATCAGAACTGTCATCAACTACTTAGCCGAACGCCAATTGAAAAGACTTACTTCGAGTTTTGCGTTGTAACTTTACTGGTATTGGAGAAGTGGGAGAGAAAAGCTACATTACGCGGATTGGAGTTCTTTTTGGGGACATATACGGTTGTATTTTTGCATGAGCTTGGAGCGTTTCTGATAAGCGGTTATCAGAAGTTGGAAGAATGGGACAGCAACGTGAGGTATTCTCTTGAACAGCCAGGAATGCGCACCGGAACAAGTTCCACGCTATCAACTTCCGACCAGACAACTCCCACAGAAGCAACTACCAATCAAGCAACTCCGATACAAGCAGTTCCTAGAGTACGACCTAGACTACTTCGATATCCACGAAGATTGTCTATTTATAGACAGCCAAGTTCTTACAATGGCGTAATTTTTAGCAGGGAACCGTTACAGGCTATTAACAGCATATCTCAAGAGAATGTACAACAGACTGCTGAGGAGTCATTGGAACAGAATAACCCACACAATACTGAGTTCTCACTTGGCTCTGAATTACTACAAGTCCCTGAAGATATCTTTGATACCGTTGCAGAGAACGAGGGTGCTCCCGACACAGATTAATTTCAAGTCCATGGCCGGTCAGTTGAGAAAGATGATTGCAGCAGCTGTAGGGATATGCACCGGGACGTTGGGTCCACAGGATTCTCCGATGCAATCTCTACTGATAATACTCGACAAGGTGGACTACATGAGCAAGATGGATAAGATGGACGTTTCGGAAACTGAATTGAAATGTTGTCCGAGTAAACTAAGTAATTTTTGCTTTCATAGAATGAAAAAGGAGGAACAAAGAATAATATTAAAGGAATGATGAATGATGAATTAAGGGAAAAAATAAACGATGAATTATGAACTTGGGGAAAAGCTCGGTTTAGAATAGGCATAACGATACCTTTGTCCAGTTTGATAATTTGTGTAACATTCCCATTTTCAAATTTCAGGTACACAATCGAACCTTCTTAGCAAGGGCAATCTAAAGTGCTTGATCTATGGTGACATGCCTACTCTTTCCCTCTCCGAAAAGATGCATTCCAGCTTGAAACTATGAATTATTTGTGGTCCGCCCGCCAGATCTTTTCTTTTCAATCATTCTTGGCGTTTGGATCAATGCTGATTCTATTGAATCTACAATAGATGAGTCAAAATACACATGCTCTCCATATATCGGGGTTTTCTGATTTTTAATGAAGCTAATCCGTAAAGAGATTCAAAGATTCTCCTTACCACTTTAAAGTTTGATCCTCTTTGATCGATCATATCCTTTATTGGCTACGATGTATTAATTGGTGAAGCTCCTTAAAATTTTCGAACTTTTTAAGGTACAGCTATTAATTATTGATAGCTCTTGACCTTCCGCACTCTTTTTTCTCATGGAGATGGAGCCTCTTAAATAAGGTTTCATTAGCGGGTTTCTTGAGCAAAGCTCGTCTTTCCGAATTATAACTAAAATGATAGTACTCGTGCGGCCAGAAAGTATAAAACACTTTCCTATATAGGCATAGATTTTTTGGGGGAAAGTCTTAATATGACCAATGAAATCAATTGTTTATTATTATTCTCATTTTGTTAATTGGGGATTCACTGACAATGATAGATAGATTCAAATCCTCGTTTATTATCAATCTACATTTTACATCAAATATATCCCTTTAATATCCAAAATAGCCCTACCCGCAAAATCTAAGCCTATATAGGAAAGTGTATTATACTTTTTGGCCGCACGAGTATGTGGTGTGAAGTGGAGTGTGATATATCTACTGGCAGCGCGACTCGCGCTGCGCGAGTACTGCAAGGTTTTATCAAACTAATATTTAGCTAATTAGTACCTAGCACTCAATATCACATGATTAAGCACACTAACCCATTAGCTTAATCATCACTACAAGTACACATTTACAACAAAAATGAAAGTCCTTTGTTCTCTACTATAACATTCGAAGTGAAATGAAAAATTAATTACAGAAACACATGTATATGCCACATATTCATTGAACGAATCATCAACTGTCTTAGCAATTCCTTACACAGCCGATGTTCTTTTAAGACACAGTACAATTCATATTTTACTACCCTATCCTACTCTACCCAACTCATCACATACATCACAGGAACAAATCTCCCTTATGCAACTCCATCAAAACCGTGGACTACCTATTTCACCCTTCTTCCTTTGCTTTCTTTCCGATTTCATCTCAGCATCTCCTCTCCATTCTGCAATATACACGTCAAGTTTTATAAAATATTATGGATCGGAAACCAAAAAAATAAAAGCAAGTAATTATGTCTAACATATTCAATATTTGTTTTCTATTAAACCGGGACAATAGAGATTGCTGTGCTCAAGCGAACTTCGAATGCCGGTTAGCCACACGGGAGCTATTTCATTTCTTGTGCTGCCTTAAGATTGATACTCCCTGCTAGAACTAACAGCGTTTTTCTATATAGGGCAAAAATTTGCGGGCAAAAGCACGTGGTGATAGGGCAGTAGGCTGTACTGTTAGCACAATGCAGAATAGTCAGCACAGGAGTGTCCACTTTTAGAGGCTAGACCCGGAGCACCTCCTCTTGTGTGGTCGTCGACCCCAGACAACCGAATAAATTTCTTCTTTAAATCTTTAAGGAGGGTATAGACAAACGTTCACTAGTTTTTGATTTCATAAGCCCCCTAACCTCGCTAACCCTTCAACTATAAATTATTTTCTACTAAAATAAACCAATTTATTCAATCAATTATCATTCAAATATTACCAAAAAATTAATCACATATTTTTAGTAATTTTTCTGAAAAGTTATTTAAGATTTTCAAGATTTTCAAATTCGTATATAAATTTTATATAAATTAAAAATAAGAATTCCAGCTTCCAATAATTATCTCAATTAATAGAATCACAAAATGTCTGAAATTTTCAGAATTGATATATAATTATCTAATGAATCTATGACTCAAATTTTACGAGATATTATCGACTTATTGTAAAATTATTAATAGAAAAAAATGATGATTTTTATTGTAAACGGGTGGTCTAAATCAGGGGTGGTCAGAAAGTGACATATTGTGCATGACAGCCGAGATGAACCACCAATCACCAAAGGGCTCTGCTGGTCCGTGCCAATAACAATAAGTTTATTTCGACTACTCCAAATGTTGTGACAAATATCCAGCTTCACCAGTTTGTGACAATTTAGCTCGAAGCTCATCGTCTTTGTTAACTTTCAATCCTTGGATAATATTATTATCCACTTGATCAGGGCTTCGTATGATGATCAATTATTTGAAAAGAATGAAATTATTACACTTTACAGCGAGATTGATCGATTCATCAGTCATTTGATCTCACAAATTGCCAGTCAAATGTACTTTTATCAACGTATCAAACCTGTGGGTAGAGCTTTTTATTTTTATGGGAATCAAGGTGTCCTATGAGTATTTTCGAGAGTGGAAAGCGCCTATTGTACAGCAAATTATCATTTTGATGCGTCAATCGCCCTCGGTACAAAATCAAATCTGTGCTTTTGAACCATTTCAAAATTCATCGGAACGAAGATAATTTAGAAGTTTGTATAATTATTTGTGAAGTTTATACTTCTATTTACTTATATGCTTATTTATATGTCTCAATTCGTGCGTCAAGATGCTGAAAATTTGAAGTGATATGCCAAATTGATCGTATCTACGATTTCGCTGCTTTTAGTGCAAGTGCTCTTTTACATTAGCCCTCTCTTCTTTTATCCTCTTTCTTTTTTTATCCCTTCATGAATCCGGCCTCATACTATGATAATGCCTACTTAGCTCTCCATTAAAATGCTCTTATCTTCCGTAACTTGAAAATAACTTTTGGAGGAGACGATGGGAGCCACAGGTGCTAGGACCAACACCTGCCCATCTAAACTGAACCGGATTCCGCTACCTACTATAGATCAATTGAAACATTTGCCCACTGATCAAGTGGATGTTTGTTATGAAATAAATCATTTCCAGGGAGAAAGATCATCTTTTTACCAGGTGCTTCACTCCTGCTATGGGGGTGGGGATTTCAAATGCACACCCATAATTTCACTTAATTATTATGAAGCAATCGACTTTTCAATAACAAATCCCTTTTCGCCCATCAAAAAAGTTGTTACAACTACCATATATTCTCAATTTAAAAGGCTTTATTAACTTACTGATGAAATACTCGAGCTTCAAAATTGAGACCCTTAACCTTCATCGACCTTCCCACGGATGTCAAAAAGCAAAGGAATTCGACCAATCTTAACACCATCTGATGTAGCGTAATGGCAATCTTAGACGGAAAACTTTATTCCCCTTGCGTTTAAATGCACTTCTCTAAAATGTACATTGTTTGCGACGTTGCTAATTTCTACATTGTAATAACTGTGTTTGATTAAAGTAGGCGCTGCTAGGGCATAATATGGTATTTGCCAATGTAGTGACATACCTATAGTTTCACTCGTAATATACTGATGAAAAAACCGTCGTTAGGATGGATCAATATAGCAAGCAAGATTGAAGATCTATGTTATCAAGAGCGACACCCCCGATAGTAAGTTCGACGGGTGAACCTTATTCACATCTACAATTATGATCTTCACGATTACTCTCCCAGCGCTACCCATGAACTATCTATGCTACGATGATCATCTCCCTCGAAGTTTATCCGAAATGGAGCTATTATCCTGAAAATCTTGCCTAGGGTGTAGTATTAGTAGCATAGACTCGATATCGAGCCCTAGAATAATTGGGACCTTGAGCAGCTTAAAAGCAGGGATAAGCTATTTGAATTCGCACTTGCCAAAATAAAGTTGTTAAATTTGGTAGAGCCCCAGTTTTACTTTTTGTTCTTCCTCATGTGAACTTCCTCTCATATTTACACCGTCGCAACGTACTTGCCGTTCCGATTCATAACTTTACGGTTGAACAAAATTATTTTTATTAATTTAACACGTAATCCTTTTAAGTTCGCATCATGAATGGCGACGATTGTTCAATCTGCTTATTAGCACCTGTTTCCGAAAGATGTGGCAGAGATGATGGAGATTGTGAAATCTGTGACCAATCTGTTTCCTGGAAATGCAGAGTCCAACCTTGCGGGCATGAGATATTCCACCATTGCTGCATTGAGAGATGGCTAAAGAGAGGAAATCGTACATGTCCTTACTGCAGAGGAAGTATTGCAGGTATCCATCACAATTTCTCCGCGGACGGAAAGCACTCCGAGTACAGAAAACTAGGAGAGCTTGAATCACGTCGGCTTGTCTTACTTGGTGAGGTACAATCACTCGTGTTTCTTCCACAGGGGGAACGTCGACGTCTAGAAGTGTACTCGAGAAAATCCTTTTCCACCCCTGTCCTGCCGTTCCTAAAGAAAAAAGTCACGCCGCAAGAAATCGCCAATAGCAGCGACATGGAAGCTCGAGTTCGTCTCTTTGCGGAGCGTGAGATTCAAATATTTTCCGTTAAATGCGTCTGCCCTCAGTGTCAGGTACCATCCCCGGACTCGCCCAATCACAGTATCGGCCCCAATCAGGTCGAGGAAATCCGCAGTTTTGTCGTGAACAAAATTGTAGATCTTTTGAAGCAGTATGACCTACAAGATAAAGCGGTTGAGATTGAGCAGGCAGCTAAGGAATACCTGAGCGGGCATGCACGGTTATTTTTGCATGAGTTGAGAGCCTGGATCGAAAGCCCATTTGAAACTCTGGAACAATGGCATCGGAACACGACGTATGGATCCTCTTTGGCATCAACTGAGGATAATCATCCTCCTCGAAGACCGCCCCTCATACGAAGAAATGCTGGACTCCTGGAATTATCATTTCTCTGAGGTAATTAAAGTACCTAGGGAACCATATCGATGGTAATTACTCAACCCAAGGTTACTGAAGAGCCTGCAGTTTCCGTCACCGAGAACGTAGATTTCAAAGGACATATTGCTACAAATCTTTCCTCCTACGGAGAGAACGAATGCCAAAATTCCTTTGACAGTCCCGGCTCTCGTCCAATTCTCAGGGATAGTAATTCACTACCCCAAGCCACAACGCTCATTTTACCAATTGCACCGCAGATCACAGTCGCAGATTCTTTAGCATAGTTCAGCAATGTCTCAGCAATTCGAATCAACGCATGATAACCAATACAGCGCACAAGAAGGCGATATCCCTACCGTTCTGTTTATAACTCTCCGGGTCTTCACCAACCTTTCACTTCATCCGGCTTCAACAGGCTGCGATATTTCCATAGTCAACGCCAGCCAAACATTTCATCTTTATCCATATTTCGAATCTACCTCTCATTAGAGGTTCATTTACAAAAGATGTACTGAAAGGGTGGACGGGATTCATACTTGGAAACTTGAATTTGTTTGTTGCTTTTCTCTGATTTATTTTCTCTTTTTTAATTTGTCTCTTTTATATTTTTTGTCTCTTGTATTTTTTGGTTTTTTAATATTCTACTACATTATTTTGTATGTTTCATTTTGTCTATTTCTTTTTGTTAATTTCTTAAATTTTGTGAATAAAATATGAGAAAGCAAAAACCTGCGTGAAGAAAAATCAGATATGGATTATCTATACGAAAAGATGGGTATGGATGGATCGTACGACAATCTATGGGAAAGGCATTGCCTTTTTTATATTCGTTTAGTTGTATTATTTCCTCTATTTCCTTTATTTCTTTTGTATCATGTATTACGAGTTATGATAGTAAATGAAACGCCAAGCCCAGCTTTGGGGTTAAATCTTCTGCTTCGTGAGAGTACGTGGCCATTGAGATTCCTTGTGATGAAATTATATGCCATTCAATATTATGGTGAAGATGAGTAGTAAAATTAATATACAATGTACTTCATATGGCTCGGCATCCCTTAAAATTCAATGAGATGAAGTGGCAGAAAAAATGGCCGTTAAACTTGACTTTCCATACAGAAATACATATTGTCGCCCAAAGGACCTCCTTCAAACCATGGAACACACACTCCCAACTTCTAAGTACAGGATTAAATCAACACCTCAATGTCACTGACTAATTCCTTGATAAAAAGGCGGGCTTAGATTCTGAAAATATGTATTTAGTTTTTGAAACTAAGCTGTATAAATGAAGCAATCAAAAGGCGCTTTCAAAAACTCAGATGTATAACATTATTTTATGATTGACCTTCAGCAGCTCGATTATTGGTATTCGGCATGCCATACGTCGCATTATAACAATATTTCTATACCTCTTCAAATTGACGCTTTCCATTCCAGAAAATGGCAAAAAAAATAGCCACTCATTATAATCCTATATCGTTACTAATAAATTAAAATAATGATACTTTTAAGCTTCAATACGAGATTACATGGGGTCTATTTCTTTGATTCCGCCAAAATTGTGAAGTGAAGATGCTGTGTTTTCTTGTCCGGGTATACAAGAATAGATAGAGTGCTGTGCTCATGAACGAACATCGCTAATAAAGCCTGTATTTTGGACTGGCCAAAATACTTGCTGTAACTTTGAAATTATAGATCAAATCAACCACTAAATATGGTACTTCTTTAATTTATTTTCAATGTATTTTTGCTTCTTCTAAAAATACGGTAGGAAAGACACATGATTTGAACAGCTCATTGCGTTGTTAATTTTAAGTGAACATAGGGTGTTCTAGGGATTGCTCAGGTGTGCAACACAATATTTTGTTAGATGAAATTTAGGCTTTCATGCCAAAACCACTCAACTTCTGCCAGAAATCACACTTTAGAGTTTAAGATGCGGTGGCAAATCCATCTTGCGTTTCTTCACTACATCTACTTTCTATATATGAAATTGCTTGTATTACTACCTATTCATTAATATATGGAATGATCCAGTGTATGATATATTAAACCAGACAGGAAGAAAGACCATCATCCCTCAAATATGGAGCTCAAAAGTTTTGTTGAAGATAGATTGTTTCCTTCCGATTTCCTAAACTTACTTTTTTCTATAAGTCTCGGCGACATTCTGCTTTTCTTTCTACACAACTTTTCTGGCCTGCTAGATATTCTATCTCGCCATACTCCTACACGACTTGATTAATCCGGACCCTTTATCTATTTAGTATTCTAATCAGCAATGAAAGGAAAGATTAAGGAATTTCATACATGTTCATTCTATGAAAAAGTCACCGCTGCATCATAAGTATACTCCATAGTATCCCAAGCAGTATGGCTACGCTAATGTTCATCTTTCACAAGCATACCAATCTCTCACACTTCCGAACCGAATATCCATTTTGCACAGTCTCAGTTTCCGCTAGCCTTCCGTCTGGCACATTCTTTTCTCCGCTCCTCCGACCGATGAATCTATTTTCTATATCTGCTACGCAATACCAAAGACTCTCATCCCATATCAGCAACAATCCTTAACTCGAAGCTTCAAAAAGAATGTGCGGATTCTATTCAACTCATCTGATCAACCACTCTCCTCCTAACTCGGCTATTGCCTGCGGACGAACCCCTTCAACATCCCCTATCAAGAATACTGAATGCATGACAGCAGGAATCCTTCTTAAACAACAACGGTCCATCGGGAGTGGCATAACGAAACTCCGCGGCACGTCTCGATAATTTCATAAGACATCATACAATACAGTGCGCATATCTAGTATTCTGCATGGTGAAATAAGGGAATATGCCTTCAATACTAAGCCTATACACATAGAAGGAAATGGTATTCTTTCTCAATTCAGAACCAGGCATGTAACAGAAAAGGCTTTTTCGAAGGGATAATTGGTTTCTTCTGACTTTATGCAGCACGCGTGTGTAGACCGTCTGGATATGGGATACTTATGAGTGAATCACATGTTATAAGGAGGAAAAACTGAAGTTAACGCATTACACACTGATCATTTCTAACAGACTCTACAAAATACCTCGTCATGACTTTAGGTCTTGTTCTACGAGTTCCCTTTCTGCCACTCCCCTTTCCTCTATTCTTCAACCAAACTTTCAAATTTAACCCTTCAACAACTATTCGCGGATATTTAAATTCTCCTGGCAGTTACCGATTCCCAGTTTCGATTTCTCAGTCCTAAATACGCAAATCTCGAGTCACTATTTTCAGCGCTCTCAACCTTACTCCACTGGATTCATTTCATCTCACGACTTCACTACATGCCGATTAAGTGATAGTATACAAGCTCTATTCTACAAGCCAGAAATTGCACAGAGCTTTCAGATTACCAATCTTGCCATTCCATTCTACAGACTCCCTCCTTCCACCATCCCCTTTATTTTCAAACACAACCCTATATCGCCTACCTATTCCTCAATCAGAGACTATCTCCCCACCGTTTCATGATCCCCACCCAGCTGAAATTATTCAATTACTTAAAATTACATCTGCGAAATAGTATCTAAACGACGCCTCGCTTGCATTCTTACCATAATAGAACATCCTCAAGAATTCATTCTAGTTCACAATCCTTTTCTCGCAGCTGAGTTCGAATTCTAGAAGCTTTATTTGCGTCTCCATTTACACCTACACCTACACCTACACCCGCACACCATCTCCAAAAAATATCACATTGATGCCCACTCCATCACTTTCCTCATTTCCAACCATCTACCAGCATCAACAACAAGTTCTATGAGCCCCCCAATCAAACCTCTACCTCAACCTTGAACTTCCTCAGATTTCATTGCCTGCAGAGTGGTCGAGCAGTCAGCTAGCTGACAGTGCTGACTGAAAGCTAATAAGCTAAGCCAGCAAGCTGGATTTTGGTAAATTTTATCAGTCAGTCAACGAGATCATATTCTAGTTGTTAGCTAGAATAAATGGGGTGGCGTTTCTTTCAAAAAAAGAATACTTTTGACGGGGGAACAGGATAAATAGTTCATGGTTTGAAGTGTTTTCGGAGGTTTGGGAGGATAAGAGGATATATTTTTTTTGGTATTTTCCCTTTTGTTTATTTATATTCATTCTTCTTCTTCTATTTATTCTGTCTCTTCCTCCCTCTTCCTTCAACTCCCTCCCTCCCCCTCCCTTTCGTCGTTTCAAATCTCCCATCCTATCCTAGACCCAAGATAAAGACTCTATATCCTATCGATTTTGTAAATATCTTCATTCTATTTATCCTTTAAAACAGTAGTATTTATTCTACCCTAAATGAAAAAATATAGGTAATATTATATAAAATATATTCTTATAAAAATATTTATATTCTTATTTTGTTTATCTTTCAAATTGAAATTATTCTACCTATCCTTAATTTAAGGATAGAATAAAATAAGAGATTTAAGATATTATTCTTTTTCCCTTTCTCTCTTTTTCTCTCCACCCTTTTCTTTTTCCTTCTTTTCAAAAAACCATATATCTTCATTTCCAATGAATTTTACCACCAAACAAAGGTTACTGTCGGTATATCATGTGATTACCGTACAGAAAGGAGGCTGTACAATAAGCAATTTCTAACCCCCACCTCTTCAACATAAATAGTCCTTTCTTCATATAGATAACAATGATCATGAAGAATATCAACAGACTATAATAGTACTATGCAAGCAGTATCACCGGAGTGATACCAACAGGTTCATATTGACTGATCAACAGCTTATCAGCTAGTTTAGCAAGATAGTGATGATGATATATCCTCAATCAATCAACTAAGAAATAAGTTCGCTGATCGCTGACTCACTGGCTAACTGATCGATCACTCTGATTACCTGCTATTAAATCATATCAGATGACTTTATTACATGCAGAGTTCTAAGCAGCTAAACACAATTTCCTTTCTACCTCCCATCAAGATAATGACGGGATAAATACCAGGCAGCCTTACCATATCAATATCATTCCTACAAGCACTCATCTTCATAATGAGTCCATCATTATACATATCCATAGCTATATATACATCCCCCCTCCCCATCTATAATCGGCGATAATCATCTCCCTTTTTTTCTTACTTACTTTCTTACCTCCTTGAACTCACTAGATAAATATATAAATATACTTTTACTTTTCGTCTTCTCTTCTAAAAGTATATAAACAAGACCCACAACCTTCTTCTTCTCTATCTTGTTTCTCCACTCATCCTCAAGTTTATTTCTATTCTTTTTTTCTATCAAAATCATTATATTTATACTATATACCTTACAGACATAAACAAACGAAATCCTATTCTATTACTATCTGTAACGATACTGTACTAGAGGCAGCGGCTGCCTGAGGTTCGTCTAGTTGGTAGTTTTGGGTTAAAGCTTTATCACTAGTATTCACTTGGAAGTGAAGTCGTTACTAGATCAAATAGAATGTAGGTAAACTAATTGATAACTAAGTTGAGCACAAAGCTCCTATGCTATGAAACTATTCTGATTATATACTATAGGTTTCCTAAATGCTAAACCATACTAATTGGCTAGCAAAGCTAGCCTATTATGTTATTAATCCTGAGACTCCCATTATCCTATGATCTTTATCCCAAGGTTCTTTTTATCCTAGGATACTAATTCTAGGAATCCTCCTCTAGAGTTAAAGCTTCAGGATCTAACTACTGTTAGGACCCATATCCTACCCTATCCAATGACCTAGAACACTCATCCCAGCCCTATTCGATTACTTGGGACGCTTGTTCCATTATTACATAGTTGCCTAGGACGACTATACTAGGAATCATATGATCCTTATCGCAGGCGATAAGGAACCCCTGGTAATCAGCGGCCAATTCACCAACGTTCATTATACCACAATAATCCGAATGATGGTGATTCGTGACACTATCAACCTCCACTCATATACATCTCCTTTTCAAATTTATATCAATTTCCTGAAAAAATATAAATCTTTTTATATACAGATTGTATAATTATATCTATATCAAAGTTCTTTGAATATAATATACTCTAAAATAACAGTTTCAGTCTATATATACTTTCAATATCATATTCAGTGTTACGAGGGTTGCGATCTAGATCACGTGGAAGTGGCCTGAATCCTCGAAGGGTTTATAACTAAGCGTCAAGCAAGGGCTTAAAGTAATGACAATGATGCAATTAGTAACTAATAGTAGAGTATACTAAATGATTGATCTTGAGCACGAAGCTCTATACAAAGGGACATTCATCTTGATTATATAGA